TGATTTGCAATATGTCAATATTACTGACCTGTTACAACATAAATGTATTGTCTGTAATAGTTATACCATTTGATCACAATTGTTCAATAGATGAATTTTTTATTTCAAAACTTCTGTTTCTCTTGACTGCACTTAATTTATAAATATAATGAGGGGATCCGTCGGGAGTTGCAACAGACAGGGGGGATCAGATGGGAATAACCCAAGGGATAGATGGCGAGTTGATCTAGTCACGTTCTGGAGTGACTGGCCAGAAATTGCTATGGTTAGAGAGAGGTGGTTCGAGGAAGTGTGCTTTGCCGTGTTTGTTTCAACAAGAGTGCTTCAAATTCAGAATTGTCCAGCATTCCATTTTTATTTCATAAATATACTCCCAAAATCGAGCTACTAATCCGTGATGCCGGTATAAAATATTAATACGTAAATTAAACTACAAGCATATGGAACTTGTTAACTTATGTCTCAGGGTGGTGGGCGCAGTAACAATGCCTCTCAGATCTTTGCGATTTAAAGCTTTGAGTGGCATTGTAACTATGGACAGGCATGTCACTTACCACCAGATGCACGACTTGTTTGTCCCATCAGTTGGTATCATAAATATAGTGCATTTATAAAAGATTATTTCAATATAGCATGAAAATATTGTAATAAACACCTTAGTTTTTTCAAACTATATTTACAACCTGCAGGTGCAACTTAAATAAATTGTCAGTAGAATTTGCTTGCATTAGTGCCCACTAATGCAAGCAAATTTAAATAACACACACACTCGCATATATGTGTGTTCACGTCTGTCTCTAAAATAAACAAACTAATATGTGGGATTTTAAATCAGCTCAAAATTAGTAACACTATAAAAAATGGTAAAGAAAAATGGACTTACTATATGCGACATTGTCATTTTTCTAACTATTAGACGTTTTTAGAGTAATGTACTTTCAGTTTAAAACATCGCATCTTCAGGTGTATGTAGAGCTCCTTGTGAAAGAGTTCGTCCAGGGAAGTACTGACACTTTGATTATTTCTGCCACCAAGTAGTAATATGAGATTACTGTGTTTGGGTTTTGACGGGTAAGGGTGCTGGTGACATTACAGGCACATACTAATATACATACTTGTCAACTCAGGCTGGCTCTGAGAGGCACTCCAACTGCTATATACAGGCATGTCGCTTAATACCAGCCGCAGGACTTGTTTGTCCTGTCATTTGGTATCGCAAAAAAAAGTTCAAAGAATGATAGAAAAGTACAAAGGTAATCATAAAAAAAGGTTTGTAGTCTGTTTGTAATAAATTAAATTTTCGGGTTTTTTAGGTTTGTAATATTATGTCTGAGTGTAGAGTTGTATGCACTGTGTCAGCAAAGTGTAGGGCCTGACTCAGCATTATGCCACACTTTAGTCGAACTACGACACTGATGATTCTGCCAGGTCTTACGGTGAATCGGTAAAAAGAAGTGATTCTATTTTTTTATTGAGGGAAAAACAGTTACACATATTATTATGAGAAAAACAGACATATTTAAAATTAACAATGTCTGAGCCTATAGTTACCTAAATATACTTTAAACCAAACAAAGAGATAACCCGGCAAACTGATACAATTATACACATATAGGTACAACAACGAAACCAAAAACAATAGAATGCAGCACCATCCGTATCCCAAACCTGTGTCCCAAATAATGCATTATATTATTTTTTATTAATGGAACAGTATGGTGAAATCGGAAACCATAGAAGATACAAGGAAACTGTCTTAGGAACCATTTCGGCATAGCACATTTTATGGTCAAGCGTGTCCATAAAAATGCATAAAATTTATCAAAATTTTTTTAGTGCTAGCGTTTGAAACAACTTTCAACTCACGTTACGTCAATTCAGTTACTTCGAATTGGAGAAAGGGATGATTAAAAAATCTTGTGGTTAACCAAATGTGTTAGATTGAGGTCAAACCAATTGAGTAATTTAACAAAATTCATAAAAATTTTGTAAAATTTTTGCACAATACAATAAAGTACAAATAGCGGAATTAATGTTCGCCACCTCGCGAATTGGTTTTTTTATAGCAAGTGACGGGATAGTTGCAGTGCTCATAATACTGCTTTACGGCAGAACTAGGTAAGGTAGCAGTACTTCTCGGGACGAACTCTTTCGCAAGGTGCTCTACTGTTGCTAAACAAATTATGAAAAAGGCTAAAGACATATTTACATTTATAAGATTATTGCATAGCAGTGCGACATCGTGCATTGTTCTATGCAGTCAACAGCACATCTAGCTATACACTTTTGTTCGTATGTCGCCTCCATTGCAACGGGACAAGATCATTTCAAAAATTCGCTGCCATTACATACCACCGCAGTGGACTCAGCCCTCAGATTACAATAATAACAACTTTTACAATGCTTAAAGCCGCAAATTTTTAATTATAAAATAACTAATCACTCGTGACGTGCAAACAATACGACGCTGAGTTTAGCACTGACGCGAGTTTGTATTCGCTTTTGAATTTGTATTGGCTTTGGTGGCTTCACTTTCGTGTTCGGCGCGCTCCGTCTGCCTCTTGTTTTGTAATCTGAGACTTATAGCCTTATACTTTTCAACTGCCATTTCCCACTAAGCCGTACCTTCATATTTGTACACTCAACTCGACAAATAAACATAAGTTTAAAGTAACACGAAATGTTGTCAAACAATGACGTCAGTTGAAGCACTATGAGGTCGCAGGAAATCCTCGTTTCTTCAAATATTGTATCAACAACAACAGACGAAAGAAGAAGTCTGCTAAATAAATTCCCGAGATTTAATATCAAATAAGCACATTCTCCGTGTAAGGAAGTTGCAAAACAACAAGGTTTAATTATTTCTTTACTTTCAGTAATAAGTACAAGGTTGTTTGACAAGGAGGAAAGAATTCATCCAGGGAAGTACTGCCTTGCCTATTTTTGCCGCCAAGGAATAAGTAAGGATGCTGGAGAAGTCTCAGGGTGACAGATGCTATGGCAGTGCCCCTCAGATCTTTGCGATTTAAAGTTCTGAGTGTCACTGCAACGGTTAAGGACAGGCGTGTCGCTTTCCAACTGGTGCACGACTTGCTCGTCCTGATACTTACAAATGGCATCACAAACAAAAATCTTTTGTTTAGACTTTAAACGTCACAGGAAGTTAAAATAAGGATATAAATTCTACCAAAAACAAAAACGCAAAATTCGATCGAAACCAAGATATCAGAAATAGCTATACCATGAAGACAGGTGTACAAGCCATTTGATCAAAGAGGTAGCCATAATAAAGCCTTGTTTTACTTACAGCGTAGATGGATTTAATGATCTTGATACACCGTACGAGGAACGACGGCAGATGTGTTAAATGCTCTTTTTGAGTTCTAGTTTTTAAACCGACTTCAAAAAAGAAAGAAGTTTTCAATTCAACTGTTTTTTATGCATATATGTTAAGCGATAACTCCGATTTTGATTATTCTTGAAAATACTTAAAATATGATAATCTCAAAATATGCTCCGGAATCTTATGGTAAAAACGTATATAGAGTTCCCCATGAAAGTAATTTGGAATTATTAAGTTGTCACCCTAATCGAACCGATTTTGCCGCATATCGACCTCATCTTAAGCCCCATTCACATTAATGAATCAGCATAAGCGGTAATCGATTTGGGAAATAACCTCTTTCAGGCATTTACGCCGATCAACTTATTGAGTTATCCGGCGTCGAAAATTGGTGGATTTTAAATCGAAAATGATAAATAAATACTTTTGACATCATGGATTAGCCAACAGCTGGACTCTATAGCCGTCCTCTAACTTTTTTTCTTTATTTTTTTATGATATTTTTTTTGTGACACCAAGTCACGGTATGAATAAATCGCACGCCTGATGGTAGAAGCGACACACTTATCCATAACACTGGCAGTGGCATTCAGAGCTTTAAATTACAAAGATCTGAAGGGCAATGCCACTGCGTTATCCTGAGACGTAAGTTAATATATCTCATGTGCCTGTAACTTCACCAGCACCCTTACTCTTCAAAACCGTAACGCAGTAATGCTCACATTACTGCTTGGCGGCAGAAATAGGTAAAGTGGCAGGCTGGACTAACTCTTTCCCAAGGAGCTCTACTGCTACTAGAATACATGCTCTACTGCTACCTAATACAGGACTCTCCGAGCAAACGAACTACGGACATTCATTGACGCTAATCGGAAATCCATTTTGCTATGCATTTGGTCGTCGGTACTAGGAGACTTACTTACGTGCTTCCCTGTAAAAGTGCGCATTTGACCTTCATCTCTGGCGATGAAGAGCATGCATACTTAAGTAATTCCTATACATTCTTGCCTAGAAAAAGCCCAAGTTATATAGCGTTCAGGGAATATGTCTGCAGACAAAGAATTCCACTGCATACCCGCTCGCCATATAAAACGCTACTAGGTGACAAGCGGCCAAGAATCCGATCTTAAGTAGCATAAGATAAAGTTCAAAATTCTCTATTTATCAGTTAAAGTTAGTTAGAATTGTCATATTGAACTCTACTGCTCGTTAGTAAGGTGGATTCTCCTGAGAAGAATGAGCAAGAAACTCTGGAGGTTGCTATTTGTAATATGCATTTGAATACATTTATCATTTACAATCTTTTTTCGAATTTACTAGATGGACAACACCTGCAAGAGCTAAACGGGTAGTAATACGGAATTTTGTCATACAAGTACGCAGAAGCTGTATACAACCTTTAGAATAAAATTTTTGTTTCACTGTAGTTTTATACCTCGTGGCAAATTTCAATATCACACTGAATGTTATTATAGAAGCGAACTTTAGAAGTTGAATATGCAATCACATCAGTCAGAACTATTTGAAATTTTTCATTTTGCAGCTTCACAAATCCAGCATCGCTTTGGCGGCACTACAAACCACCTCTCAAAACTTGGAAATAAGAGATAACTTTTTAAAACGTGTCGAGATGCAGCCTCCCGTCATCTTCGGCGCCGGCGCAGTCGGAAACCAAATCTCGCGAACGCAGCGCGCCTGCGTATTCCATATTTCAAACTGTGCTCGAAATTGTAAATATTAAATCAGTGAAGTGTTGTGATTGGATAGGACAAATTATTTTCAACTACCTCTAGGTAAGCCTACACAATTTTCTACATATAAAAAAAATTAATAGTTCAAATAATCAGTAACTTAAAAGTTTGTTGATAAAAAAAAATTGAATCCGCATTTGACGCATATACGTGCCACTGCCGGGCATGAACTTACAAGGGAATGAATGGGAAGGAAAACAATTTAAAATTATGCTAGATAATTAAATATTCTTTTGCTTTTAACAATAATGTACAGAATTATACAAAATATAATCAATTTTTATTGTAATAATGAGGCTCAGAAAAAATATACATTGCAATTTATGTAAGCTTCTCTTCTCGACCGAACCAGGGTTTATCTATATTTCAACCAATTAAGTTGGTGATCTATCCGCACAGGTAGTTAAAAAACGTGGAAAATTTGAAAGGTAAAGATAATCGAAAAATTAGAAAAACAAATTAACAAGAATTGCTATAAAAAATTAAACTGTAATGTAAAATTTTAAGTACATCGATTAGTATTTATTGCAGCGTAATTACTTGTAATCCCAAACCTTGTGTTAATTAAAATATGTTTAAGATCCTTTTGTTTTATCGTGTTTGAACAGTTAATTAAATTTTCCACTGGGAATTTTTCTTTGGCAATGAACTATAAAATTACAACAAGTGGATGTTGTAATTTTATAGGGATGTGAGAGGTGTAATAATTAATTAGAGAGTTTTAATACATCGCACTTTTAATACAATAGTGCATTAACTTAAAGTGTATTTTTAACATCGATGAAAAACAAATTCCTCACTTTACGTTACAAACAACTTAATAATTAATAATATTTTATGCAATCGTTGCAAAATGAGGGTTCTTAAAGTCAAGTACCGTGTTTAGGCCGGCGAGGCTTGCCGAGTGGCCTAAATAATAGGATTTTAAGACCTAATTATGTAATGATTGCTAACAATACTTTTTCTACGAGTCAATAAAATAATGAAACAGAACCAATGTAGATTTTGTTAACAATCCAATCGAACGAAAGCCATTCAAACGCTACAAAACAAAAAACCAAAGAAATAGTACAGATGTGAACAAGTATGGCTTATTAACCAACCGGGAGGCAGTAGAGTGTTTAAGCAGCGTCATATTTGATATCTTAATTAGCAATATAGTTCTGTGTAAAGAACTATAATGAATTTTTCAGTTCAATGGCGAGTACCATAGACAATCGAATTTCGATTAAGAACTAAAAAGAGCTCTTTTGTGGTATGATTTAAGAAATTATAATTGACAATTGAAAGTACAGGAAAGTAAAAATTTATTTAAAATAAAAGCAAAAAATAATTTCATATTTTTTAGTAAGGGTTGTCTTGTTCTGAACACAAAAAGGTTTGTCTCGTTTTGAGTTAATTAGATAGAATATTTTAAGTAACAATACTTACAATATTATAATCAAAATTTTACTGTCAGCAATAGCATTATCATGAATTTCACATATTTTGAGTTACAACTCTTATTAAAACAAACTAATAATCTTACAAAATTATTTAAAAAATTTATAATGTTAAGAAAAAACTATTTAAGAAAATCTTACGAAAAAAAGGAAAAAAAAAGAAAGCATCTTCTCCTTTTGGTTTGCGATTAAACATTGTTCTGTTTTCTGCAAGATTCACAGCCTTGTCACCTAAAACCGGCCTCAAGTTAGATAAATGTACGACACTATGTCAAATATCACTAACCCTATTTGACCCTTCTCATACACTGTCAATTTCGTGATATATTTGAATCTTGTTAACGGTTCATGAGCAATATTTCGTAAATAACAAAATTGGTTCCACTTTGCATCCTATTTTCATATGCATTCCTATTTTCATTTATAAAAGACTAACAACTCCCAGGACTATATTGCTAACATCGTAAACAATGACTATTGTATGTATTACGTACAAAAATAAAAGTACGTACCTAAGTAGATCGCTCTAAACGGTGACAACTGTCTGCAGTAGCAATAGACTTACTACCAAATATATATATAAAAAGTGTCAGAGTGTACAAAGTCACACCACCAGATCTGCCGGGTCAGCTGCAGAGTATGCGGCAAAATTTAAACATGCCAAGTACAGTGGCAGTCGAGACTGCGGGGACTTGGGGTGCGGAGGCCAAACAATTCATCAGGGAGTTGAGTCGTTCGCTTAGAGATAGAGGCTGTGACCCAGGCTCTGGATCTTACTTGGTGCAAGAAATTTCGTTGGCTATACAGCGCGGTAATGCTGCCAGTGTTATGGGGAGGTATGAACCAGCTAAGATTCAGAGCGGTCCTTTTTCATTGCATTAGTTGGATAAAATTGGCTAAGTCTGGCGAATTGCATTATTTAATTTGATGTAAAGAAGGTTTTTGCTGATTTATATTTGTGTCTTCCTGACAAAGCCTACGTTGCGGATTAACATAGTTATGTAATTAGATAGATAGATAAATAGATAGATAGATAAATAGATAGACAGATAGATAAATGATAGATAGATAGATAGATAGATAGAGATACAAGATACAAGATACAAGAACAAGAATAGTACATAAACAACTTAAAACTAATGTGGGCGAAGGCGGTCTTATCGCGATCTCTTCCAGCCAACCTTAGAGTTAGAGGAAAGCTAATTGGAGCGGGAGACGTAGTGTGCCAATTTTACAAATATAAAAAAAAAAGAAAAATAGTTGTAATTAATTAAGTTTTTAAACGAATTGAAGAGTGTACAACACAAACTTAAAAGTTTATTTTTCGTAAAGATCATGGTCCACAAAGTATAAATACTACAGCCATATAGAAGTGAAAAATGGCTAGATTTATAGAAAAATATGTATGTAATATGCGTCGTTTTACAGTTGCTACTGTGAAATTATGGAACAAAGAAGTGTATTTTTAAATAAAGGTGTATGTTAGTGCAAAATATTTGTGTATTT